GGCGGCCTGAAGGAGGACTACATGCCGGGAGACCTCGGCTTCGACCCCCTCAACCTCAAGCCCGACGACGAGGCGGCTCTGGACGTGATGAAGACCAAGGAGCTGAACAACGGCCGTTTGGCCATGATCGGCATCGCCGGCATGTTGGCGCAGGAGCTGGTCAACCCGGCCGATATCCTCGGCTAGAATGTTCGACTTTGTCGGCTGGGATTGTCTGGGCGTATGAATCAAGTGTGTTTGTTGGTGTGCTATTGGGAGTGTTTAATGCACCGGTCTGGTCCGAGAGGAGGAAGGTAGTTGGGAGGTGCCACGTACCTTGTGGTGCAGTCTTCTCGCGATGGTAGATACTGGTGTGAATCGGGTGTTCGCTAATGCGTAAATGTCCGTCTGTATTTACTTCTGTACCGGTTTGGTGCTGAGTGTCGACGATTCGGCTAGCCTTAGATTCGGCATTTTTGTATCCACCGATTGCGATGTCGGCGGAGGACAGAAACGGTGTCACCCTTGTCAATGTCATTATGATGAGAACTTTTGCTTGACCTTGTTTAGGCAATCCCGCCCAGGCTAACGAACAAGTTTTTGTTGTTTTACTTGGCCATTTGGCTGTTTGGTTTTTGAAAGTCCCTCTACGATCTTACTTTGCTGCATGAACTCGAAAGGTCGAGCTGGGATGCGACAATAGAGTACGTGAAGCATGCAGTTTCACGCGCCAGAATGTCGTGTTTGCGAGTCTGACGTGTGTGGTGAAAATAGAGGGCACAGCACGCGCATGTATGTAGCCAAAGCTTCCGTGCAGCCTTGCCTCTTCGCGGTTTGATCTTTGTTTTCTTGCACTTGACACGGATGCTCTGCCTCGTAGCTTGCGTGCAGCGGCGTCCAAGGTGTGCCGCATCAAGTTGTTGTGCGACGCGTGTGCCCTTGAGTACATTTTGTTGTTTGTTTGAGTATCATCAGAGAGTAGTTCTATCCAGGTGATGACCTTTGTTATTCACAAGTAGATGTCGTGTTATTGTCAATGAAAAAATGAACGAAAAGATTCTTGTCCTAGGTGACTCCTGCTGGTGACAGCAGTGCTTGGGTGCTTGATGGCGGAGGGCAGTATACCGTATATGACACAAGATAACTCTCCCTCTTGACCAATTTTCGAAGCTCGATTTCTCAGCTGCAGGAACAGTCACAGCGCCGAAAACGGCGGCGTTGAAACTGTCTTTTCGAGAGCTTCTCGAAAATGAATAGTTTCGTTTATGCATCCTCTTCGTCGTGGAGTGACCGAGCTTTGAAAATCGGTCCAGGGGGTGTGTTATCTTGTGTCATATACGGTACTGCCTCCCACGTGCAACAACCGCCATTGACACTGTAATGGGTCTAGCGTACGCACTCGTAAAACGATGTGCGCATGGTGATGGTCTTCGGACTCGTGAAACGACTCACGCATGCACGTGCCCTCACCCACCGCCATCTGACCCGTAATACCACGGCTCACGCGGTTCGGAGAACACCTGCATCGCGTACCGGCAACATACCTGACATTCATAAACAAGTTCTTTTTTATGCGCACTCCTGCATATGTGGCACACTCATGCATATGTGAAACCACACCTATCGTGGAGTAGGATTCCCGGATGTGATGGTAATCTTCCCGTTCACGCATGGAGGAAGCCGCATCTCTCATCATGATGATGTGTGGAAAGAGGGCGCGGAGAGCGGCGAAGGCTTGAAAGTTTATATCTATGCGGCCGAGACATTTGGTGAAGTGTTGCTATCCTCCCATCGACAACCACTGTCGCCTGGCCTATGTAGTGAAGGCGAAAGACGCCAGCCTTCTACAGTACGTTGCCCAACCGAAAATCTAATTGGGTTCGACATCGATGCTGATGGAATCGTTGACGACGCTGTTTTTGGACGTAGTAAGAAAACGGGGCAAAACGCATGGGCTTGTTGTTCTCATTGCGGACGTTTCCAATCAGTGTACGTAGTATTCAATCATCGATGAGAGTGCAGGATTCGGTTAGCGACCTCGATTCTCAAGTGTGGTAAATATGGGTTTTGATGAAATGAAGAACGAGCCACCGTAAAAACAGTGCTCACGTGTTCGTCCCCGGGAATAGATGCCACCACACCCACCCGAGGAGATGCTGAACAGTCATTTTTTGTAGCAATTATTCAACCAATCAATGTGATTTTGTGAGGGATAAGGGAAAGAAGGCCGAAAGGTGAGCGCAGACGAGCTGATTCATTACCGACAAATTTTACGTCACGGCGATCGATGCGATGCGTCTGACGAGAATTTCTCGTCACGGGTCTTGTTCGCTCGAATCATCGCAGCTGCCACACTTTCCAACCTCCCTCCCCCCATCTCTCACAAGCTCTCATCTACCATAATACTACAGTAGTAGTAAATAGTTACATCCCCGACGCCTGCTTCGAGTCTTTTAGGGAGGGCGTGATGGCAGCGGACAAAAAGTGAAATCTCTGTTTTGATCGCTTCCAAACCCATTTACAGTACAGTGCAAAAAAAAAGGGTGAATGATGAGAGATGGTGAGATCTTGAGACAGAGAGAGGTACCTTCTGTAGTGTACGAGCAAGGTAGGGTGTGTTGGCGCTTCCGATCGATGCCGTCCGTTGCCGGTGACTCTTCTTGCTGCCGATTTGTTGGCATGCGCTCGAAGTTTTCACATCTCTTGAGTGGACAATTGGCCAGTGGGGGATGACCTTTGATACTACAATTCTCTATTGAATACTTTCCGACGAGGCTCCCCACCAAATCCAACACTTTCAAGCAACACGTCACTAAACATTCGCACCAAGGAAAATAGGAACATGTTATTTTACTCGTTCATCATGGTCCAAAACCCCAAACTAGTTTCTCCACTCACTGTGGTTGTATGTAGCGTTGATGCCGAATGCGAGCTTCCGGTCGGTCGGGTGGCCACAACAACGTGTTGTGAGTTTGATGCTTTTCGTTTGCAGTAGGCCAAACACAATAGCCACGAGCGTGGATGGGATGATGTGGCTATGCTCAGTTTATATCGTGGCCGTATTAAAACAGCTCCCAAGCCTTTCGCCGAAGGCTGTGAACATATTCCCGTACTTTACCATGAGAGGTGTGCCCACCACCGACAAAAGAAACAAATGTACCACACTTCTCGTTGTCAGTGTGCACGTTCTGTGCGTCTACTGCACATGACTAGACAGTATAGAATAGCCATCACCGCAATGAATTCCTGGCTGTGTGGGCTACGTAAAAGAACGAGACGCGGCTTCTTTTTTTTTGTTTTCCGGTATGGCATGCCGGTAACCTCACACTGTAGTAGTCAGTGGGGACGCCAGGGTCACAGATGGCGGTCGGTGAGGGCGGATGTATGCATACATGCCCCATTCTATGGACTGTCGCCAGCTGGTGTCAAGGGCTGATTACCCGTAGGGCAGAGTATCTCGCCCCCCGACCGTCAAGCACGGAAGTACTGTCGCCAGCAGGTGTCACGTGAGATACAGACGTGCTCGTTAGATTTGTATTCGGTTGACGACAACACTCACTAACCTCGACGAGGGCAACACACAAGACAGAGAGGGGTCATTATCTGGAAGGAACAACTCCCAAACAACGCGATTCACGGTGCACGACAAAGTCGAGACGTTGGCTCTGATCTTCAAATAAACAACACACCTTATCGATAATGCATCGAATAAGAAAACGGCCCGACACACCCTCAACGCCACTGCACGTAACTACAAAGTTTGGCATTTGTGTCAGGTGTGACAAACCAGTGACATCGCCCCCACTTGCCACAAGCCATGCACAACAAACACCTCACGAGCCCCTGTAGCATATACCAACGATCAAACAACGAGGTGGCAACACCTGTACCAAAGCTTTTTGGCTACACACATGAACTTGCAAGACCAGTCGGCCTGCGAAAGCTACCATCGTTGAAGCAATCCGTTTCCCGCACTAGGATCGTGAAGACATCTTACAATTACAAATACAAACATCCAACTCGCGAAATTTGCACGTAAAATATCAGTCAAAATTGTGCACGAGCCTGAGAGGAACTGGCCCCGGCTAAACAACATCAAGCAAAATTTCTCGCTACTACCCAGCCGAGAGCGACACAGATTCCACTGTATACGTCGACATCGCCATCGGTAGTAGTAGAAAACGCCGAAACATGAAAACAGAAGCCGAAGCGTCTACACCCAGCAAAACTACTACGGCACAGAAGTAAGTTACAGCTGGAACCTCAAGCATCAACGAAACATTCTTCAAACCAGCATCTACGATCGCGAGGCAAGGCCGCACAACAAGGTACGTGGCACCTCCCAAATGCCTTCCTCCTCTCGGACCAGACCGGTGCATTAAACACTTCCAATAGCACACCAACAAACACACTTGACTCATACACCCAAGACACTCCCAGCCGACAAAGTCAAACATTCTAGCCGAGGATGTCGGCCGGGTTGACCAGCTCCTGCGCCAACATGCCGGCGATGCCGATCATGGCCAAACGGCCGTTGTTCAGCTCCTTGGTCTTCATCACGTCCAGAGCCGCCTCGTCGTCGGGCTTGAGGTTAAGGGGGTCGAAGCCGAGGTCTCCCGGCATGTAGTCCTCCTTCAGGCCGCCTTCGCCGGTGACAGCGCTGGGGGTGTCGAAGGCGGTCATGATGGTGTTGTACTCGATGAAGGCCATGCCCAGGAGGGAGAACGCCCAGAACTGAGGTTGGGGAGACACGGGAATGGCGGGCAGAAAAGTACAGAGAGGGAATGGCTGTGTGAACAAACAGCGCTCGTCGACCACATGGTGCCGGGAGAAGGGTGGCACCGTTGGCAGCGCCGCATCCACGTGCCAGGAGAAACATTACTCGAGTAGGTACTGCGGAAGAAGAGCACTTGATGATTCCCGACAACCTGCGGAAGCCTTAGCGCAACCTACAACTGACTAGATCAACCAACTGATACCAGCGCGGCGGCACCACGACAACGCGAACAACTTCATGTGCTTCACTTTGATGTGTGCACATGGTGTTTTGCTGTGGTGGGATCACACCGCCGCGAAATTACGACTCGTTTTCGGTGTTAGAAGGGGAGGACAGGAAATTCGTTGCTGGAATCACGAATGTGTACGGGTGTATCTTGTCGGACTACGGTAGGTCTACGGTAAAAAATCGTTTTAACCCGAGTCGCACAAAGCACAGAACTTTTTAAATCCGACATTTCAATTGCCTCAACACACCATCTGAGAAAAAAAATATGCTTACCCCAACACCCAGTCTCACCTCAGGGAATTGGGCGCTGATCTCCTGGAAGTGGTCCACGGCGGGGCCAATGTAGTCGGGGCCCATGAAGAAAGGGTGGTATTGCTAGAGTGGGCAACGGCGACAGAGACGAGAGCGAGCACGACGCGATGCGGTGGGACGAAATGCATGACAAACACCAAGGATTCCACTAGGCTTGTGTCTACCGCAAAAAGGAGTATCGCTCGAGACGTGAGCGAGCACGACGCGATGCGGTGGGACGAAATGCATGACAAACACCAAGAGGTCTTGTGTCTACCGCAAGATAGTACTATCGCTCGAGACGAGAGCGAGCACGACGCGATGCGGTGGGACGAAATGCATGATAAACACCAAGAGGTCTTGTGTCTACCGCAAGACAGCAGTAGCATCGCTCGAGAAAACACAACAACATGCCACCCTCTCTGAAGGCATG